AGTTATATACTGACACATATTACAGTTCTCCATCCCCTCGTTTGTGCAGGAAGAGGGAGGAGCTGATTGAGAGCATTAAGAGCTACAAACCCACAGTCGGCTCGGTGACCCGGGCTCGCGTTTTGCTCATCGGACCAGTCGGAGCTGGAAAGTCCAGCTTCTTTAACTCTGTCAACTCTGTATTCAGAGGCCACGTCACCAGCCAGGCCATATCTGGCTCCTCCTCCACCAGCCTCACCACACAGGTGATTGGTTATTGTGAGTGATTTCAGTTTCTGTGCGCTGTGCTCTAATCGCTTTGTGTCCAACAGTTTCGCTCGTACTCTGTGAAAGCCGGGCGTGAAGGGAAACCTCTGCCGATAATCTTGTGCGATACCATGGGGCTGGAGGAGAGCAAAGGGGCGGGGCTTGACATTGATGACCTGAACAGCATCCTCAAAGGTCACCTGCCAGACTGTTATCAGGTGCTGCATTACATCAGCAGGACACTGAATGTATGAAACAGAGATTTGTCAGCGGTCGGCTCAAACGTGTCTCCGTTCCTCCTCTAGTTCAACCCTTCAGCTCCTCTGCATCCTGAGGCGCACGGCTATCACAAGTCTCCTGGACTCAAAGACAAGGTCCACTGCGTGGTTTATGTCATTGATAGCTGTAAGATCTCCATCATGCCCACGGGGCTGGAGGAGAAACTGGACGCCATCCGCAGAAAGGTCAACTTAATGGGTCAGTAGAGCCGAGTGCAATCATTACAGCTGTTTGCCTTCTGAATCTCAACACAACATACAGATACAGCCGCTCAAAGCTGCGACTTTCAGCCAGACGTCAGCAGGCCGACTGTTAGTTCTCAGCCACCAATCAGCCGCTGGGAGTCCCGCCTCCTTTCTCCCATAAACACGCCCCTTTCACGCAGAGATGGCGCTTTCTTCAACCCTTTTTATAGCTTTCGTTTAAACCTAAACCAGATATTTTACACTGAAAATCACCAAAACTGTTTCCAGTAAACAGATTTTCATTCATCCATTTTAATCTAATTTAATAAATCGATACAATTTTAAAGGAAACGAAATACAGAAAAAAATATTCTTCCTCTCAGACCAGATGTGGAGGTCGTTTCTGTGCCTGAGCTTCATTTGGTCATTTATTCTGCTGTTTGCGGGCTTGCTACTTCTTCAGACCTCGGTTTGATTTATAAACATGTTCTTCATTATTTCTGTCAGGCTGCAACTTAATATTTTTAATTTATTCTTTAAATTCTTAAACTGTGTTAATGTCTCGAGCAACTCATAATTTCTCTATATTTTGAGTTTATTATGAGTTTCATGAAGATGTGGGACAGGACTGAGCAAACAGAAGTAACCTCGTGGTGCCTTCCCAAAATTCGACATTAGAAGACTACCAGATAAATGCAGTCTAGGGATG